AACGCTTCAAGCGTTCGTTGAAACGATTTTCGAGATCGTTCATCGTTCGAAATTGCCCGTTCGAACGCTTAGGAAAAATCGTTCGAAAATTGGTCCAAAAGCGTTCAACGGTTTGATTTACCGTTCGTTGAAACGTTTGCCGGAATTTCGTTCAATCGCATTGGATTTGGTTCAACATTCGATTAAACATTTGCAATGTTACAACTTTAGAGAAGAAGCGCAGAATGTGTTACACAGAAATACTCCCAGAAATGTATTCAGTTCCTTAGTAGAAGGCTTGTAAAGGAAATAGTAGGGTTATATCATTTTAATTATAATAACTTGTAGGTACACCACGTAAGTATTAAATACTGCAAAGCTTTCGGTCCGTTAACCCGGACCTTCATCAGTGCAATTACTTGAATACACGTTTGCGCGTCACTTAAATATCATGCTAGTCGTGATTAGTTTGCTCGCGCTATTAATTAAACGGTTTCATTTAATTAAGTTCTAATTAATGCGCGCGCCCTGGACAAGTATTTGACTAAGAGACACCGAAAAGAGCACGCCACGTACTATTAAGTGGCTTTCCCTCTTGGACGATAGTTTGATGTTTATAAATTTCAATAGATTCTCTCATTTTACGAGAGACAGTAAACTTATCGTTTGCTAAAATGGTAGCATCGTTCCATTTAATGCGATGATCATAAGTCCATGCATGGTGAGCTACTGCAGACTTATCCAGTTTACCTTTCTCGCAGTTCGTCTTATGTTCTTTAAGACGTATTGAGAGATTTCTACCGGTCTCTCCAATGTAAACCAAACCACATTCACATGGAATGCGGTACACACCAGGTTTCTGTTGTTCATCGACGCCATCCTTGTGTGTGTAAAGAGCGCGAAACAATTTGTTATTGCTAGAATGGTAAACTTGTATTCAAACTTCTTTTAAAATCCTAACGATTTTGTATGAAGCTAGGCCAATATATGGTAAACAGACAGAGGATAGATATTCCGTGTCTTGCCTCTGTCTTTGCTGTTCATTCATAGCATGTTCTATGAATTTCTTAGGATAACCATTCATGTGCAGAACATCCTTCAAATGCTTTAACTCTGAGTCAATGCTATTTGAATCACAAATTGTTTTGGCACGGTTGATTAATGTTTTGCATACTGATCTTTTAATGCTAGGATGGTGAAATGAACTATAATTCAGATATCTGTCAGTGTGTGTTGGTTTTCTATAAACTTTATGGCCCAAAGTCCCGTTCTCTTTTACATCAAATAAGATATCTAAGAAAGATATAGAGTTATCTTTCTGTATTTCTAATGTGAATTTAATTGAAGGGTGTATACTATTAATGTGATCTAAAAATTTATTCAAATTTTCTAAACCATGCGACCAACTACTTAATGTGTCATCTACATATCTAAACCAGAAACCAGGTTTTAAACATGCTGTAGCTATAGCTTTCTTTTCAAATTCTTCCATGAATAAATTAGCCATAACTGGTGATAAGGGACTACCCATAGGAGCACCATGAGTTTGCTCGTAGTATTTCTCCGCCACTGAAAACTAGTTGTATTCAGGCACAATTTCAGTAGTTCATATATACTCTCAGGAGAAAGGCTAGTCCTTTTAGAGAGGGTATCATCTGAAAGCAGCCTGTCTTTCGCAATGTTACACGCCTCATCTACTGGTACATTAGTAAATAAACTAACTACGTCGAAACTGACAAGAATTTCATTTTTACCTAATCTAACATCTTGCATATTCGTAACAAATTCTTTAGAATTAACTACATGATGTTCAGTGTGACCACAACTGGTTTTAAAATTCTAGCAAGATATTATATATCCTCTGTCTGTTTACCATATATTGGCCTAGCTTCATATAAAATCGTTAGGATTTTAAAAGAAGTTGGAATACAAGTTTACCATTCTAGCAATAACAAATTGTTTCGCGCTCTTTACACACACAAGGATGGCGTCGATGAACAACAGAAACCTGGTGTGTACCGCATTCCATGTGAATGTGGTTTGGTTTACATTGGAGAGACCGGTAGAAATCTCTCAATACGTCTTAAAGAACATAAAGACGAACTGCGAGAAAGGTAAACTGGATAAGTCTGCAGTAGCTCACCATGCATGGACTTATGATCATCGCATTAAATGGAACGATGCTACCATTTTAGCAAACGATAAGTTTACTGTCTCTCGTAAAATGAGAGAATCTATTGAAATTTATAAACATCAAACTATCGTCCAAGAGGGAAAGCCACTTAATAGTACGTGGCGTGCTCTTTTCGGTGTCTCTTAGTCAAATACTTGTCTAGGGCGCGCGCATTAATTAGAACTTAATTAAATGAAACCGTTTAATTAATAGCGCGAGCAAACTAATCACGACTAACATGATATTTAAGTGACGCGCAAACGTGTATTCAAGTAATTGCACTGATGAAGGTCCGGGTTAACGGACCGAAAGCTTTGCAGTATTTAATACTTACGTGGTGTACCTACAAGTTATTATAATTACTAAAGTCGCCATGCAATCATACAAGAAAATTATATCATTTTAGCCTAATCGAATGCTTTTTTGCGCTTCATGTTCTGGTTTATGGTTAGCGTGCTCTTATTTCATTAGCGACAAATTTCACGTTATAAGCTTTCTTTTGAAAATTTATCGTTTTTGTGCTTCGGTAATGCACTGAATGGTTAGAATTTGTGTTTTAATATACTTCTGTAGCTTCCATAAAGCCAAAGTTCACCGCGCGCACAAACAGCGTCGCAAGCCATATATTACAGCATTACGAGCCATAATATGCCTTGGCAAGGTGCTAATTAAGTTGCATAATTGTCGGAAGTCTGTAATGTATGTAAAAAGACAAAACCAGATTTTAAAATCAGTAAATTGAGGGATTTTGCGTGTTACATATTATCGCACTTGTAAATTTATTTACAAAGTGCGATAAATTTAAGCTAATTTATTTACATCTGATAATCTGATAGCAGGGCCTCCGTCCGAAGCAGCTACTGATTAAAATGTATTCAAAATAAAGGACCGCATCCTAGGACGAGAATGCGGTTCAGCATTTCAGCTCGTTGTCTTTAATGCAGTCTGACATGCAAATTATATACAACAATTGAAATACCCTAGCTAATATTTGAAGACATAAATACAGTGACCTAACGCGCGTTCGGTAGGGTTAGGACGAGAACTAAAATAAGGTTCCCCAGTTATTGGGGGCCAGAATAGATAACGAAACATCATAGTATATGAGCAAAACGTGATCAATGACAAACAGCGAATTAAGGACCCGGCAGTACCAAGTATATCTCAAGACCCCATCCTCTGTTCGTTATGCCACTGCATGAATATCCAAGCAATTTAAATATGACGCGTGCATCTAGTCTAAAACTGGAGCAGTGCCCCGCTTGCAAATTGTCTTATTTCCTTAAAAGGGTATATTTGTCTCACCAGATCTAAGCCATCTGGCTCGATTGTTGCTGGCATGTTGAAAGGTATCAATTGGCATAAATATAACTTATGGCATAAATATAACTCATGCATTGTAAATGTTTATTTAGACTCTTAATTCACAAAAAATTACTTCATACACAGCAAAAAGTCATTTTCCTATCGAAGAAAATATCATATTTTGAGAATTTTTTTCTTATGAAAAGAAAAATTTTCTTATCGTAAGAATTTTTTTTCTAATTCCAGAATATAAAATCTTATTTAGAAAGTGATTTCTCAAAATAAGAAAATGTCCTGCCCACAAATTTACAGATTTGACACAAGAAATTTTTTTCTTATATTTGGAAAAAATTTTCTTAAACTGAGTAAATAATTTCTTGATAAGAGAAAATTTATATCAACTTATGGAATTCTCAATATGAGAAATAATCTTGAGAACAAAGACTTCAAAATCCCCAAATATTTCTGTTCCAAGAAAATATTTTCTTGAAATTCTATATTTGGAAAAATTTTTCTTAAACTGAGTAAATAATTTCTTGATAAGAGAAATTATATCAACTTCAGAATTCTCAATATGAGAAAATAAATCTTGAGAACAAAGACTTCAAAATCCCAAATATTTCTTGTTTCAAGTAAATATTTTCTTGAAATTCTCAATGAGAAAATTTTTTCTAGAGCACAAGAATAGGAAAGCTATATATAGTCTGATCCCTCTTTCAAAAAAGCATTTTTGGAATATATGATATAAGAAAACAGGAGTTAAATTGGGTATAGTGAAAAATCACTATACAACAAAATTTTTATTATTCACAATGAACAAATATGTCTGTCCCCCTTATAATGAAATTATATCTAGGTAAGTCCTATATGTACAATCAATTTTTGCAGTATAGCAGGTATTTGGTAACAAATTTCATCAGATTTCATCAAACAATTTTCATCACTTTTTGCCTCTGATTATTCAACTAAAACCTACTATACAATACAATATTACAATGCAAAAGTCAGAGTTTGATATTTTGAACAGGACAGAAAATCTATATTTATCCCTAATGTTTGGATTGCAAGTCTATATTTAAGGTTTGAATATTCAAATACATACACAATACTATAGTGCAAGTACATACATACATGCATTGTTTGTTTAAGTCCACATCAACAAAACTCAATGGAATTTTAATGGATTGCAACCCTTGACATGTTGGGTAAGCAAATCATTAATGTCATACTTGACAGAAATGTACCAATTCTTCAAATGGTCTTTATGAATGTGAAACACATTATTATTATATTTATTATTATTATTATTATTATTATTATTATTATTATTATTATTATTATTATTATTATTATTATTATTATTATTAAAAAAACACATAAAGTAGCTTAGACAGCTAAATTACAATGTGATTTACAGGTTCATAAAAATAATTTAAGAAATATTACATTTTAGAATTACAATAATTCATACTCTAATCTATATTACAAAGCTAGAAGTAAATTACAAAAGCTATATTTTAAAATTAAGAAACTAATAAAATAGTTAAGAATCATCAATTTTGAGATTGTACTTACGAATAGCATATACTAGAGGACTATTTCTAAAGCGCTCTGTTCTGCATTTAAAATTGTAAATTTTATTTACATTAAGTCTCGTGTCTCTCTCCCGTAATTGACCTACAGTTGGTGGTAGCAAATCATTGAGTTTATGTGAAGGGTCCTTTATATCCTTTATCAAGTTTATGCACATTAACTCTCTTCGACTTTCCAAAGTTTTAATACCACATTCAGTTAATGCTTGTTCATAATTCTTTTCCGGGCATATAATTTTCATTGCACGCTTTTGAATTCTCTCTATATCCCTAGATTGTTCCTCTGTCAAACTCCCATGCCAAATTTGAGCTCCATATTCTACGATTGATCGAATTGCCGAAGTATAAATAGTTTTCAAGTCATCTCGCGGAGCATTATATCCTTTTAAATTTTTTAAAAGATATAATCGTTTAGCTGCCTTTTTGACAATGTATTCCGTATTTGTTCTCCATTTTAGATCATCGTCTAACCACAATCCAAGTAATTTATAAGAGCTTACTCTTTCTAGGATGCATTCATCGACTTCTGTTGCAGGAATAGCTGTTCTATCCTTTCGAAAGTCGATAATCATCTCTTTGCACTTTTTTGGGTTTAACTCCATTCTCTCAATTTCCGCAAAATTCTTTACCGAATTAATTTTTTGGGGTATATTACCAATTTCCGTGCCAGAGATATGATTGTGAACATCCAGTGCCTCACTAATCGTTGTATCGTCCATGAAGAGAATCGTATCTTCATCCACAACGACATCATTATTTCCATTTCCTACAACAGCTTCTGCTATAACACTAGGTAACATATTAATTTTAACCACAAAAGCAATAGGTCCCAGCTTACTGCCTTGCGGAACGCCTCCCATAACATTCGCAAAATCAGATACTTCGTTTCCAAACTATGTAAAATGAGATCTCTGTCCAGGTACGATGCATACCATTTGATCAGAGCAGGTCTTACACCAATTTCTCGCATGTTTTCTAAGAGTTTATTATGATCGATAAGGTCAAATGCCTTTCGGAAATCCAAAAAGACTATTCTTATCACTCTGTGCAGTTCATCCAATGATTTATGCCACTTGTGTATTAAATTAACCAGCGCATTAATTGTCGATGATCGTGGTAGACCCCCATATTGAGAATCAGAAATTTTTTCATCGGTATCTTCATATATCCACTGAACAGCAAAAGATTCTTGAACCTTTGCTAGGACACTAGTTAAAGCAATTGGTCTTAACTCTTCAACATGCGTACATGGTACAGATTTAGGGATTCCAGATACCTTGTATTTTTTCAAGATCTCAGGAAAAATTTTTGATTGAAAAGATTCATTGAAGATTTCGGTCAAAGGTACAGCAAAATATTTTGTAAAAATCTTCAAGATCTTCAGAGAGGGATCATAAGGACCAGGAGCTTTATTAAGGTTAATTTTACGCAATTCTCGTTGTACCTGGTCGACAGTAATTAGAGGTAGATTCTCTATACATTGAAATTCCAACCAATTTTCGTTCACTTTCGGATAATTCTTAGTTAAGTTTGCAAAATAATCGTTTATATAATGAGCAGACTGCTTATCATCCATCTGAAACCCAGTATTGGGATCCAACATTATTGGTTTAGCAGTTTTCTTGCCGATCAAGCCCTTCATTTGTTTCCACCAAGATTTAGGGTTGTTTTTAAAGTTTGGACTTACTTTATTCTCGTAGAAATCAATTTTCGCTTTCCGAATTTCTGCCGAGACTTGTCTTCTGAGACTTTTCACACGCTCAACTTTTTTATTTTTAAAAGCCATATTCCTTTTAAGAATCAACGATTTTATTTTAGCTGTCATAAAAGGTTTATCCTTACTATAAACTTTAACCGTTTTTTCCGGAAAATATTCAGAAATCATATTCTCAGTGACCTGAAGAAAGGTATTGACTTTTTCATTATGTCGGAGGTGTAAAGAACCGAAGACCAGTTATAACTTGCTAGTAGAGATTCGAAATTCTCTAACTGCTGCTGTCGGATTTTTCTCACTTTGATTTTAATCGTAGTTCCTTTCTCCGTAATATGAGACTTGGACTTCCAGCTGATGATATTATGATCCGACGTTGACAGTGGGGCTAGGATTTCCGGAGTTTCGTAACAGTCAGCCATGTCAGTGAATATTAAATCAAGGATGTTTCTGTTTCTGGTAGGTTGCGTTACAATTTGTTTAAGATGACAATGCCTCTTTAAACGGTTTTGTTGGAACCCATTACTATCTGGATTGAAATCGCCTCCTAGAATAATTGCCGTATGTGGGCTTTCTAGACAAAGCTTGTCATAACAGTTGTTGATATAATCATAGAAATTGTCAATTTCAGATACATTTAGGTTTGGTGGAAGGTATGCGCATCCTACTGCAATCCTTGAAATTGATCTTGGTAACCACTTTGGGCGGATAGTAATCCATAAGCATTCAAACAGTTGATCGTTTAAATCATCACGCGTTTTTAGTGGTATACTTTCATTGACATATTATTGCTACCCCTCCACCTCTACCACACAATCGATCTTTTCTGATAATGTTCAGACCAGAAACATTCACAACCTCATCAGGGATTACATCTCTTAACCATGTTTCTGTCACAAGAATTAAGTCAGCAATATACTTATCTCTAAGGATTTCAAGTTCATTTACCTTATTGACTAATGATCTTGCATTCAGCATCATAATATTAGGGACAGCTCTATTATTATCCAGGGGGCGTTGTGCTTTTTCAGGGTGGATTCTGATACAGTTATTAACGCAATGCGTTCTGACATTGTTATTTGGTGAACTTTGTCTCTGTTCTGTTATTCTAACAGGAATACTTTGTGTGTTATTTACCTCAGTACTGTCCGACAATGTCACAGGAACAAGGTTTCCTGTATTACGCTTTGATAAACGTGAGCGATATTTACGTTGGGTTATCACAACGGGAATATTATTGAATCTGATTGGAATGTGAGCCATTAGACGTATGTTGAAAAATTCCCATGATGGGTGGTGTTAAATTTGATTTCACGTCTAATATTTCTGCTTTTCGATTGCCACAGATTGACAACATTCTTGGCCAGAAACCTTCCGATTGAACTTCAGACCACATTGAAGATGGTATGTGGATTTTAGCAGATTGGGTTCCTCTTCGTTGACTTCGAAACAGAGCAATGTGAGTAGGTATTATATTTCGTTGCTCTAAATAGGATAAGATCTGATTCTCTTGCACGCTCTCGTGTATTCCAGACAGGAAAAGTTTCTTTACTCTTTTCCGCCTTCTGTCAACCCCAATAAAGCCATCACCTTCAGTATTTCTTTGTAATGGGACACTTAGTAAAGTATCTTCAGGGTTATTAACCATATTTGGTTTTTCCTTAGGTTTACGGGGTTTTGGATGCCTTTTAACCACTTGGGCATAGGATTCTCGACGCGCCACAACACAGCCAACTTCTCTATCAGTAAGAGTCTCGTCAGATTCATCCGACTGACTAGTGAATCCTGCTTCATTGCTTCCTATAGAATTTTTTAATTGATCTGACACTAAGGTGTCATTAGCGTCAGTTTCAATACAGTCTTGGGCAATAACTTGATTTACATTTTCTCTTTCTTCGTTATGGTTAATCGACTTTGTCGAAGACCCCTCTGTAAGGCTTGTTTCATTCTTCCTGATGAAATCTTGAAATTCTGAAATTACTGAAGTTATGTGCAAGATAGAGTTCGACAATGATTGAATTGCCTCGCTATTCATTGTTGATCTTGCTTCATACATTCTATATCAGTGTAGAAATCAGGCGATTCACCCGAATGAACTTTGCCCATGTCATGTACAGACACAGGTTCTGAGATGTCGTCTTCACACTCACATATATGCTTACATAATTCCTTCTTGAAGTTGTTAGCTTTCGATCCATTAAAGGACAACAAGTTCTTACTCTTTCTCCAGAGGATCGTCGAATCTTCGGTTGTGAAAAGCTTTCTATCCCCGCCGGGTTGAGACCAAACACCATCAAGTTTGAAGGTTTCATAAACAAACCTTTTTCAACGATTCATAGTCCCCGTTCCAAGCTAAACTTAGCTTGTTTGTTATCGCCATAGCATAAATCAAATAACTTATAACTCTTGTACCAGTTTGGAGCTTATTAGACAGCTTATTAAGTTGAATATGTTGAAATCTTATAAAGAAATTTATCGGAGCTAAATTTTCACGTCCGCCATGTTCATTCGTCCACAATATCAAAAGACATTAAGACATTATAGTCTAACCAGGTTCTCTAAAGACATTATAGTCAACCAGGTTCTCATAAGGGCAGAAAACAATTTGTGTACTTGTTTTGTTTTCCTCAATACCGTATGCTTGGTAATGTTCACTAAATCCAGTAGTTTCCAAGGTTGAACATTCAAAATAGACAAAATCACTTACAATCCAGATATCCAATATTGTAGCAAAGAGGGGTGACCTTGTTGTTTCATTAACACTGTACATGATTACAGCATTCTTTCTAAACTTTGTTCCATGGCAAAGAACCCAACTGCTTTTAAATGCATTGTCTATCACAATCCCAGGTAACATACCAAAATCATCGAGTTTCAATCGCAATGATTTTTACCAAACTCATTTAGTGGGGTCAGTACGCCATATTGCCTTTCATTAGAAAATAGTGGATGAGATTGCGGGTTGTTGGAATCAGCAAAGTTGCTGCACTCGTTCATTTGACATCTTTCTGCGAGGGACTTTGTAAGGTTTTTAAAATTCTGCTTCCGTGCAGTCTCCTTAAAAAAGTTATGAGCTGACTCAAATGCGAAACACGAATGTCTTATCAAAGGGCCAAGTTGTTTTATCATTGATGGCATGTGTATCAGGTAATGTTGCTTCGGGATGATGTTAGTAGATGGAAAGCAATCTTTAAATCTTGTGAGGTGTTCTGCGATTAAGTCCTTCAACTGATTCACAGTGTTAATACTTATAACAGGAGAGAATAGAATTTGAACAATTGAGATCAGTTCAGTAACCAAATGGTAAAATTTGTCATGTTCATTCACTAGACTGCTTAAGATAAAGGGAATCAGCCTTAAAAACAACCTTGCCTGAGCAGCGTTATACTTCAGTTTGTATCGTTCATCTCCTCGAAAAACAGATTCTTTCAATGGACCAGGTTTGTCTGATACTTCACTGTAACCATACTCTTGGTTAGCTATAGCTGCATTTAGCTGTGCTAATGTAAATGTATTGTTAGTAATGTAATGCAATAATATATGGCGTAGCTCATATTGGACAACACCTTCCAACAAAGTGTGCATGATATCTTGTGGGAGTTGAATGCTGATGTCAAAGTCTTGTAAATCACACAAGGAACTTCTGTGGTTAATACCATATGTTGTGGTCAGGTCATTTTTGACAACATCATTCGGTGCTGTCTCAATTTCTTGGCAATGTCTGTCATGCATTTCTTTATTCCTTACTGTGAAATCTTCTTCAAAAAATTTCTCCTGCATGGCTTCAAAATGGCATTGGCAATGATGACATTTGTGGAATGAAAATCCAACACCAACTTTAAAACCACCCCACTCATGCTGACCCTCAGTGTCCCCAGCACATGAAACAACCTTGCCAAAGACTTCCTTTTCTTTTCCACAAACTTGGAACAAGTGGCCACTTTCCAACTTCTTTATATCTGAAATAATTGGTTTCAGAATAGCATTGTAGCCATACTTCTTGACCAAATTCGACTTTACGATTGCCAACAGTCGAATAGCACACCGCTTTGACCGAATCTTTGGACTGAGGTTTCCCAATGTATAATAGAACATGTCGACCTTATGGGTTCCTGTATGACTACCGAGAGGATTACACACTTCTAATGC